GCCCCCGCCGCCCCCGCCGCCCCGCCGCCCCCCGCCCGCCCCCGCCCCCAGCCCCCCACCGCCCCCGCCGCCCCCCGCCCCCCGCCCGCCCCCCCGCCCGCCCGCCGCCCCCGCCCCCCCGCCGCCCCCGCCGCCCCCGCCGCCCCCGCCGCCCCCGCCGCCCCCGCCGCCCCCGCACCAGCCCCCGCCGCCGCCCGCCGCCCCCGCCCCCCCGCCGCCGCCCGCCCCGCCCCACCCTCCGCCCCGCCGCCCCCGCCCGCCCCCAGCCCCCCACCCCGCCCCCACGCCTCCCGACCGCCCCCACAGCGCCGCCCACCCCGCCCCCGACCCCCCCGCCCGCCCCCGCCGCCCCCCCGCCTCCGCCGCCTCAGAGGATAAGGGTCTGATTTCTTATCCTCGATCCAACGCCTATCTTATCACTCCCACTGGGCCTGTCTTCTTGGATGGCGCGTTTATCTTGATCCGACTGAAGCGCACTTCGATTTGCGCGTAGACTGTTGTCATGAGTATCAAATTCTGAGTAGCAAATTACGCACTCGGTAAATATAACTATCACAGGCACACCGATATTTCAAGAAGTGTTGTGTATTTACACACTTGTATGTTTACAGAAGTGTCAATAATGTTAGTCTTTCTTCATGTTTTTATCAAATTTGATCCCACAGTTTCATATCCTTCTTTAAATTCCACTCAGTTCAACCAAGGGATTTTAAAACTACCTATAAAAGTGTAGTGGCGTGTTCCACAATGGTTTGTAATCTATGCAACTAGGTAGCCTTTTTCTCGAACTTTCAAAGATATGAGCAAAGTATTTAAACAGATAGTCAACCTGTTCTTCCAATAGCTGGTGGTGGGAAGTATATTTCACGCCGCAATTGACCAGTTCACGCTGCCTCGAACATTTAGTTTATTCGAGAACTACGAACCGTATCGTTTTCCTCGCATTGACCCACATCCTCACTCTGTCGCTTGCGAATTAAATCGGTCAAGCGAAACTTTTCTGCGTGCTAGCGTAGAGGATCATGTTCTTTTCCACAACAGGAACGGGGTTTTAATTGTTGACGCTGAGCTGTATTTGCAGCGGCAGATCGATGATTTGCGTTAGATAAATGGCACACTGCTAGCAATTTTGGGAGAAAGGATAGGTATCAAGTCATTCCAAATCATTAATCTATAGTAATGAATTCCATACCTAAACTAATAAAATCTAATTCATGCACATATAAAGGCATATTATAGCATATTAAAAGGATATTATTACATTATACTCATTTTAAATGATAAGCTTAACTCGTAGTATGTGTTGCTGTAGAAGTTCCTTAGTTCCCAAAAGGTAATTCTCTCTTTATCTTTAATGTAGAAGAATTAAAAACCGTTCATTCCAAAGCACCCTAAAAACGATCTTCTGCATTTTCTTCTATCTGACGTTATGTTCGCCCTCACTCTCTTCAGGAAATTTGGAATGGAATATATTTAAACGTTTAGTATAAAGATACAACGGTTTTTTACTAATGCTGCTAAATGCACATATGAAACGAAGAGTACAGACGTCTGTGTAAAATAAGAGAATCGCTTCCAGATTGTAAATAACTAACTACGGATTCTAGTAAAAGACAATACTTAGTTATCGGTATGAAAGTGATGTACACTCAGTCAAAAGCTCTTATCAATACCTAAATATTTTATTTCAACTTCCAGTTTCTCATTATAAGAGAAGGTGATTTTGAGAGGAGAGAAGCTTCCTTCTGTCTTTCTTGACCACGCTTATGAGTAAGCTTACAAGCTTTTGATGCTTCGTGGATATGAAAAAAATGAAGTCGGTTTTATCTCCGTGAGTATCGAGAGCCAATGTGCGTATTTATTGCGTGAAGGTTCCTTTTTATATACATTTTGTCATAATGCATTGGGTAGAATGCTGTGCCTGCATTTGTATTTTGAATAGGAATTAAAACATAAATCTCTACGAGGTAGAAAATGTTATTCAATTCGTGTTCATTGTCTTTGTAAGCAATACATAGTACATTTATAATATTGTTATTTTTAAATTCTTATTTCTTTGCAAAACACTTTGAATGAAATTTCACGAGACTTTTTATATTCTGTTGTGCAATTTGATGGCGAACACAAAACCGAGCGATGTTGATGAGGCTTCTCTGAGCTTCGACTGTCATTTACTGGCAAAAAGTGCTCACAGCTGAGTTGAAGAACAATGACAGAAACATTGCAAAGATACTGGAAGGAAGGGTTACACTAAGCATTTAAGTACTAAGTTAATTTGGATCAGAACTCGAACCAAGATTCAGTAAAGAATCTTCAGAATCAGACTTTATTTTCTAATGGTTGAAACCTTTATCCAAAAAAATCTATTTGTTCAATTTAAATTTAAAAATCTCAATTTGTAATTTTTTTTTAAAATAATCTTAATTTTGTAATAATTTATAACGCATTGAAACAATTACATTTACAGGAAGTGCCTTTGTCACTTTGCTACTTACGCCAACGAAGATTCACGTCTATGACAGGTTGATGAATTAAAAAAAAGATGACTTTTGTGAAAGAAAGTCTGCCAAAATTGAAAATAAGAAGAAATAATATTCATATGGTTGTATGAGATTCGAAATCATCAAAACATTAAAAAAATTACAATGATCTAAATATTTGGAATAAAATATGTATCGCGATAATTGCAAATGTATTATAACTATTTTTTTAAAGGTACGAAGTGTACTTGTAGGTATCTCTAATATGTGATAGAAAATTAAAAATAAATGGGCAGGTAGGACATCTCAAATCACAAGAACCATCTCTGGGTGCCTGTGCCATACGTTGTTTGATTGATTGATTGATTTAGTGATTCCGGGCACGTCAACTAGTAGGGGCATCAGTTCCGTAAGGGTAGAGCATGTTTTGCTTCGGAGGTGACTGTGATCTTTCCCTCGATGTACGGCGATATCTGGCGCCGACCTACCGTCGACTAGCGGGGTTTTCCCTGACCAGTTATCTCCCACCAGCGGGGCACCACCCGAGTCGGGACAAGCTCTAAGCTCCCGACCGTTCTCTCGGCATGTGTGCTTGGGTACTACGTGTTAGTGTAAGTGTGAGTGTGTGTGTAAGGGGAGAGGATAGGGCAAGGAAGAGGTAGGAAAGATCGCGCGCGGTCCGTGGCCCGTTTGTTAGATTACTGCACCGGCATTCGCCTGCTGTTGATCGTAGAAACCACGGAAAACTACCAATCAGAGCAGCCGGCCGCTATATTTCTTCTCCAGACAGCGACTGAATCCGACCTAGCTGACAAGGAAGTGTCGAAAATCCTGCTACCATCGGGACTCGAATCGAGGAGCTCCCGGACAGAGGGACTGCAGTGACATTAGTTGATGCTCCGAGCCATCTCTCCCGGTGCATGAGTTGCAAAACACGGCGACTGTTTGCAAAACGGCGTTAAATGCACCGTAGGTATTCTGCTGACAAGTAAGTTCCCTGTGGCTTCGCGGAGTTTCAACAACAGATACAATAAGATGATTGAAGAAAACACGTGTTTGGAAAACGGTGTGTGCGTATCGTCGACACGGACATAAAACATTTCGCAAGGGAACTTAAGTCACGGTGCTTCCGTATATAATTTACTGGAATATAATTATACATGTCGATTGAAAGAAAGAAAAGAGTCACATCAATGTTAATACGGGTCTTTCCTTAGTAAGTAAAAGATCTACAGTACCCTTCATTTAACCATCGATAAACACATTTTATATGGTTTTACTAAGTGAAAACTTATTCTATTTGTAAACTTAAATTATTTTCCATCATTTTTAGCTCGTTTATTATATTATATATTTCTTGTAAAACTCCAATTTGTCTTCGTCTTCCTCTTTCCCTTTGTGGCTTTCAGCATCGGGAAACCAATTTTTCTTGTCGTAGTACTTTGATTTGAAAAATTCGTATTTAGGGATAACAACGTAACTAACAATATTTCAAATTCCATTTAAAAAGTTTCTATTTCAATTTAAAATTTTCATTTTTCCAAGAACATGAACATGCATTATACTCTCTTACTCTTACCAACCTTCCTCTCCCTCCTCTCTCAGCCTCATTCTATTTTCTTCTAAATATTTTCCTCTCGCGCTGCAGTGCCTCTGACCTGAAGGTCTTGGGGTCCCAATCCCAATTAAGCAACCAAATTCTTCTTGCTTTGATGTATCGTTCATTATTTCCATAATTGTATCCAGGGGTGTTACTGAGGTTAAAGCCCATAAATACATAAATAATTATTATTAAATAAAACATTATTTTCTCGATAACCTTTTCAATTTTCGTCCTGAAGCTTTTTGAAGGATAGTGCTAAATACGCTGAATAACATGTTATAAACTCCATTACGATGTTGTCTTTTGATTTTTAAAAAATTATACAAATGTTTTTTTTAAAGATCTCCTACGGCATTAATATTTACATATGGTTTTTATTCATTATTACATTTGCTAGTACAAGAACTTCTAATTATTTCTGATGAAGTTTCTCGTTAACTCAACATTTTTCTGAAAAAATGAGCTCAAATTTGCGCATTTTTAGAAACGCTTAAACGCCATTTTCTCAAAAACGGCTTCAAATTTTTCAATGAAAATTGGCACATAGGATCAGTTTTTACTATAATTTTTTACTATTTTTTTGTTACTTTATTCTTAAAGTCATATTTCAATTATAGTATTAGTGGGTGGCAAATGAAGAAAATGTGACTAACTAGTAAGAAAACTAACTAAAAACACTAAGTATCAGGAGAAAGTTCGTGCTGCTGGAGCGCTTAGCGAAGTGCTGGCATACTTCTATTCTACAATTAGGGGGCGAAAATTTCGGAGGAAAAAAATTATTTTATGCGCTGATTAGTAACAGTTGGTTATTGAGTGGAGAGAATCCGAGAAGCCGTCCCAGCCGACCAAGTAGATGAGGAAACGCACTAGTAAGAGCAAGCGCGTGCTGTTGTCGAGGCGCGGGCGGGCGTGCGCAGATCGTGGACCAGCTGCACCGGCGGCAGAGCGAGCGCGGGGGCAAGCTGACGCTGGGCGAGCTGACGCCGCTGGAGCTGAGCTGGCAGCGCGAGCTGAGCGACCTGCGCACGCTGCTGGCGCGCGAGCACTGCTCGCTGCTGCTGGCGGCCGACCGCGGCATGGAGCGCTTCCACCACCTGGCGGCGGGCAGGGGCGGCGTCACCTCGTCGCAGGCCGAGCGCGACATCCGCTGCTACGAGATGCTCTGGCGCATCAGCGTTGAGTGTTGGGCAGTTGATGCGCTTGGTGCTAAAACCCGTTGGGTCCGCTTTCTTTACAGAATTTGAGATATGCTGATCACACGATATAATATTATTGACGCATCGAATGACATAAAATATCTTCATGTCCGCCGCGAAGTGAGGGTATAAAATAAGGCTAAAGTTTTCATTTCGTGCAGAATCGGGTGAAAAATAATTCAATTTTTCCCCTTCTCCTGAAAAATCGTGGAGAGCGGTCATGAGGGGTTTCTGCACCAAGCGAATCGATTTCTCCTGAGGACGAAGAGTCCCATCCAAAGGGATCAACCGAGTACCGTTCGGAACACTGAATGGCTGAGAGTCCCCTCCTCCCAACTCTTTCCCCTAGAACCCTCCTATGACGACGTGGATATCGCTAAGACCGGCTGCGATGACTCACGACAGCAACTGTTGCCATTGGAGCAACCCTGACTGAGAGGTCCAAGTGTTCGAGCCCTGACGGTGGCGGATTTTGGACACTAGCTGCATAGCTAATTGGAATTCAGCGGCTGTCTGGAGGGAAATTCTAACGGCGGATGGTCTGGTCGGTTGTTTTCCGTAGTTTCTGCCATAAATAACACGTGAATGACTACAAACAGGCCACGGACCGCGGGCGATCTTTCCTCACTCATTCTAGTCATCGTCTACCCCCATAAGCGATGTATTACAGAGCACCATCACCCAATCACAGTAGAACTGTGGGGGGAGCCGTGGCATACTAATCTGTACCCAAGTTTTCACTTCGACGAATAATTTTATGTTTGTTTCACTAGCAGGTACACAATTGGCGCTGTTTGATGATAACGTGTTTGGGCGTTTAACTTAATTCGAAGTCACTTTCTGATTAATGTCAGTCTGGTGAGTGTGTCAATAAATTATGTTAATGAGTCCGGGGACGACGAGGTATTTGAAAGATAAAGAAAAATGAAACTGGTAACTTCATAGGTATTTGCTTATTTTCTATATGTAGCTGGATTTAAATTTATTTCATTCCGTGTGAAATTTGTTTTAAAAAATGTAGGTTCGGGATAGAAGATGGCATCGAACACCAACAATTTAATATTTTATTATACTTTTTTCACAATCCCACAGGGCATGTTTCCAAATAAAACTTTCTTTTGCTCAAATTCTCAAGGTTTCAGTTTTCCCATATTTTATGAGGTCGACTGGTTCAATAACTGAAAATGACAAGATTGCAGGCTGACCTCATGAGACGCAAAGAAACTCACAAATAAAGGTGTGAATGACGAAGACGGATAGCATTCAATTGTTACAAAGAAGTGCGAAAACTAAGAGGGAAATGCTAGGACAAGTTGTGCGCTACAAATACATACATTTTAATCCAGAATTCAAACCACATTCCCATATGTAGTAGGTCATTAGCGGTTTTTATTTTTAAGTCAAAGTTTGCAATTTCAAACTAACTATTCGTGTTGATGTTAATGATTTGATTTTAATTATTTGTTAAAATTGTGAATTTCTTGGTCATTTAATTTGTAAAACAAATATGTTCTAAAGCTACAGATAAAAACCATTTGTGAATAATAGTTCACTTTTATAAATACATGATGATTGTCAATACATTTGTCTAGGAAAATATCACAAACACAGGAACAGATTATGCTTTTTCCTGCTGTTGGCTTCCAGGAAAAGTGCTCTATTCGCATGGTAAATGTTCTTACTCGTATTAATTTCAAAGCGAATAATGGGTGCACTATAAATATGAACTGAAAGAAATCCACGATTGGACCCCAATGAACAAGAGTTTAATGCTGCAAATCATCGTTGTCTACAGGCCCGAATGGTTTACATCGCCCTGGAGCGTCCATCTGCAAGTCTCATCGAAGGAGAAATGAACCGCCTTTTCAGATCACCTGTTTTCACTGGCAATGTTGGTTCCGTCACCAGAAACGCCTTTGGTAAAATACCTAAAGGTCAGTTGCGCAGAAATCTTTCCAAGAAAACTTTCATTCAAATTAGCGAATGTATAACAGTCAATTTCTGAATAAACGAATAATTACTTCTGGTTTAATCACGTTTATGGACCTCAAAGTGAGAAACAAATGAAGCTACTTTAAGATTTAAGACACGAACTGTAAGTTTAAGACACTACATCCCATAAAGTTAGGTAAGTAGGCCGGACGGTTTTATTTATTTCCTGGTAAAATATGATACAAGAAAATAAAAAAAAATCAATGGAAAAGGGGGTTAACGGGGACTCCCCTCTTGTTTTAGGCCGCGCCTGCTTATGATGATGGCAAAGAAGTGTAAAAAGCATACGAAATAGTATATTTATAATTGTTAAAAGACAATGTGATACACGCTTAATACTAACCACATTTTTTTGTTTGTTTATAATTGAAATTAAAAATAAGTGTGTCGCTGGTGGAGAAAGTGAAACACAGGTTATGTGTCACGGCATGCTAATAACATATCCAAAACAAACAAATATTAGGTTTTTATGTCATTTTTACATCTACACTTTAAATATAATTTTAACTTACATCTAGATTTGCCTTAAATAGCAAAACCCATTTGATATTTTCTTTTAAATGCCATTAAGATTTTACAATTTGTCACACTCCTAAATTTTCTGTCCCCCTCCCAGTTAAAAACGTGTCCTTAAAACACTGCTCAACATTTTATGGATTTTATAAAAAGAAGATGTCAGGAGTCCGAGGCGAAGTCACGTTCGCGTCGCAAGTGCGCGCTTGTTGCTTCGCCAGGCGAGACGCCGCCGAGCACTGGCTCCACCATCCACTTCCGCTTGCTGGAGGACTACCAGAAGCTGGTGCTGCACGGCGCGCCCGTGGTGGAGCACAACAAGTTCCTCACGCACTCCCCGGCCGCGTTCTCCGTGCTGGGCGACGTCGACTACCGCCTCATGGCCACCGGCCAGGTGGAGTTCAACAGGTGCGCCTTAACCTTCTTTTTGTTGTTGTTGTTGTTGTTGTTGTTGAGATACCCACGTAGTTAGTATCGAAAGGTGGGAGTGCAGTGGGGGGAGGGACTGAGTCCAAGGGTGCTCTAAAAGGTGCCCTATTGGTCCCCTTAGAGGGGGCTCGTGGCTAGAAGCCCCACTCGAGGTAATTGAGAAGGGACTCTACGCCCCGCTCCAGAGAAATTCTACAAATAGTAATCGGATAGCTTGCGTCCGTCTATCCGTCACTTGCGGTTACACCCCCTTCTGGCCCATCGTTCTAAACGACCACACGACTTTAGTTTCCTGGAGGTACCCACGTCGTTAGTGCCGAAGGGTGCAAAGAGAGGGGATCCTAAGCCACAAGGGTGTTCGAAAGGACTGGTCCCTTTCAGTTGGGCTCCTTGTAGCTCGAGGCCCCACTCGGGAAAATTAAAGATAATATGCCCCACCCCAGAGATATTCCACAAATAGTATCTGGGCAACCTGCGTCCGTCTGTCCATACGTTACTTGTAGTTAGATCCCTCCTGGTCATTCTGGTTTAGTGTAAGTGAAGTCTACCGATGGGGAATTGTCCATTTTTTTGTATCCAAATGTAATAAAAGTACCTCAGATAAATAAATACGAAACTACTAGTTCCAAAACATTTTAAATCGTCGGAGACACTACACTAAACTAGTTCGAATAGATTTTCTCTCGTCATTTCCTCAGAGCTCGTAGCTTCTAGCTGGGAAAGCGGACTCTTCAGGTTGTCAGTCCGAAAGTTCTAAGAGTTAGGTAGACCTACTGGCGTTATTCCAGATGTCAGTCCGCGGACCGGGAGTTCTAAATATGAGCAATGCGTGTTTTGTTCACCTCCAGAGCCTCAAACCCCCTCTGGAGTCGTCTCTGCTAACAAATGATGGCGATTTTGCACCATTTATAAAACTCCATTAACACAAAAGCCCTGAAACATCCTACTGTTGGAGAGGGAGGTACTATCCAGGGATTCATCAGACAGATTTTACACGAATAATGTAGAATTTTGTAAATTAAACAAATAATAAATCAGTGGTGCACCTCCAGTACGCAGCACAATATATTACCATCGTGGATAACTCGTAAATTATGCGTTGTAGATCTTTAAAACCCTGTTTTGTTTCTTATCTGGTTACTTACAATACAAGACCTGATAGTACATTTTTATAACTCGTTTGGCTACTTCCACTAAGTAGCATGGGTGGTCAGGAATGTGCATAATATTGAAACTCATCCATTTAGTTGTCTTTTTGATATGATGAGAAATTGAATCCCAGAAGTCTAGATCTTTGTTTGATAATGAACGTTAGAAATATTAGAATGATTTATATCGCCCGGAATTTTTGCAAGGGTTCAACTTGTGTAATTAATTACACTAAAAATGGACTCAGAGAAAATATGCTCTTCATATTCGATTTCCTCAAATAAAAATGATCTTCTGAATTCATCTGTCGTACCTTAATTTATAACGGAAGAAAATTGCTTTTTATGACAGAATGTTCATTATTATAACACGTAAGTTCATGTAGCCGCTTTTCACTACGCGGCCCCGGGTTCGATTCCCGGTCGAGCCATGACTATAGTGTGCGTTTTTGCAATGTCCCGGTATAGGTTGCTGTGTGACGATGGGAAAATTCACTTCTCAAGTTGAGAAGACCGGAATACGGTGAGGGGATGCTAACCACACGAACCCCATGGCTGCGAGGAAGGGACGTCGCCAGTAGGACTTAGCCCGTTTGATTGATTGAGCCCGTTCACGGGATGTTGTTCCAAGAACATACAAACATACACATTCATATGGAGATGGCCTCATGAAGTGATCTTTTCAAATTTTCTGAGGCTTTGCGTATTTGGTAACTCCCTGCAAGTACAACTAATACGTAATAAACCATATGTTGATGACCTTGCCGTAGGTATGACACAAGGCTCACACATCAAATACATTTTTTAAAATTTATTTTCTACCTATTCGGCAATTCTGCCTTCAAGCGATTTATAAATTTTTATTTTTAATATATAACATTTGAGCATACAACCTATCTTTCTTGTAGCTTACTCCTAACTGATTTATAGAATTTCATATTTTTATTTCTAACACGTACATCTACACAATATATGTACAATACACATTTTTACCATTAATTATTCATTCATTGATCTAGATACTCTCTAGACATACATTCAAAACTTATATTTATATTAATGGGATGAAAATTTACTAATTTAAACATAGGTCTACATTATTATAGTTGATATCTATTTTCAGGGAGGTTTTAACATGTCTTTCGGTTATCGTGAACGTAGCATAAATAATCGCAGCAAACTTTATTTAACTTTGCGAGATCTACATTAGTATAGAAGTGCTCTGCAGAATATTTCCAGAAACCAAAACTGGGCGTAGCATTCGTGTAATATCAGTAATACACAGATATACCGGACCCATCTGGAAATACGCAACATGAACCAATCTAAATAAAACAGAAGTCCCCAAAATTAATTTCTCAGAAAAATTGTAAAAGCTCTGTAGTTTGTAAGCAACAAGTGTATCCAAATTCAACTCAATATAAAACAAATAAACGAATATACAAATCATCTAATTTTTTAATAGTTTTATTGTTTTGTTGAGATTACATTGTTCAGTTTACATGACCACAAATCATGTAACTCACAAATTCTTGTCATACCTCTCCCCATCTCCTTGTGCAACAATACTCGAACCAGGTGAAACACATTCTACAGTAAACGCAATAAAATATTTCACTAAAGACTCTCTTAAATGACTTTTAATCAATTTTCCATATTTCAATGAGAATCTTCCCTCCAATCTCCCCATTAAAATTATCTCCAAAACCAACACCGCCGAAAACCCCATTCAACTGATCTCTGTTCACTGCCAATATTTCGGTCATGTTACGCATCGCGATAAGTTTAGATAAAAATGTACTACATGTTATGAACTTAAAGGCAGAAATGTCAAAAAGGCAAGTTGTAGAAATGTCAGAAGGCAGAAAAAGACAGAAATGTCAAAGGCAGAAATGTCAAGTCGGAATGTTTTTAACAAGATTTATCCACTTTTTCTGTATCAAGGCCCCATCGTCGAAAAATCGCCGATGTTTTGTTTTGCAGCGTTACAATATTTTTTTCTATATTACGTATGAAGTATGCGAGAAAGTAGCTAGTGGTGCTAAAAATTATCTTTCTATTTCCTTTGGTCTCGGTTATCTATTCGAACTTGCCACATATTCTTGCCAATTGACATCTATCGCCGACTAGGGTATATATTTTTACATTTTCTTAATTTTTCTGTTTCCTAATTGTAGAGCGGATATATTATTTTGAGATTATTAAATAACAATAAAACCTAGTACTAAATGGCAATTCTCTTTGAAAAATTCCGAGCCCTTTTTAAAAATCTGGCGTTTAAGAGCTCCTGTAAATTCAAAAATTGAATCTCTTTTTCACAGGAAATATTTGAGTTTTCGAAAAACTACATAAGAAGTCGAAAAAATCATAATTTTGCAATTTTCAATAATTCACAGTTAACCGTGAAAATAGGACCTATGACACTTTTATACGTGTATGTTACTCTATGCTTACAAGAAATTTAAAGAAAAAAATTTGAAGTCGTTTTTGAAAAAAATTTGAACATGTCCGACGGGCTTCATGTAAAGTTACCCCCAAATTTTAAAGATTTTTTTTCCAAAATCTCAAAGATTCGACTCGAGCCAGATCGACACGGGTTTCTTCAATTTGGAAAAATTCCTCCTCATGGTTTAGACGCCAGTAGTGTTCACAGACACCAGACGGACGGACGGGCAGATAACAAAGCGGATGAACGGACTGACGGGCGTTTTGAAACAAAAACACTTATGCAGTATAGGGAACCCCAAAACGTGTATTTCCGTCGAAATTTCGAAATCGATTTTCCGCATCATTACATTACTTTTCCTGTACTACGTATATTATTACTTCGTATATATGTACGAATACGGGAAAGTAAGACTGTGATAAGTTAACTTCCAGATACTGTTGAAAAAAAATAACACATTAAAATAGTACAAAACGTAAAAAAAATATATTTATAAAATGAGAATAATCATGAAGCAACAAATCAAGAAATAAGTAGTATGGTGGAAAAAGAAAGCAACAAAGATGAAACAAAAGCGTCTCGCTCTTCTCCCGGTACAACCGACCCGCACAAAACCACCGAATCCTAGATGCTCGTGCGATAAACAACGCGCGTGTAAAACAAAAAAGGGCCAGCGGCGATTCGCAGCGCTCAGCTGAGCCCCGGCCATTACCATGCAAGCGCGCGCGCTCTGCTGCGCTAGTTATCGCCCCGGACAGTGACGTAACGCGCGGCCGGAGGAGGAAGGCCAGGGCCAGCTGCGACCGCTTAACTCGCTCTTCCGCGTTGAGGAGCGCGTTGTAGGAGTACGTGCGCGGTTTCTCTCTGGAGGACGCGCAGGCACGGCGCAGCGCCGTTGGCGGAGGAAGCGCCGGAGGTCGCTGCTGTGCGCTGGGGGCGCATGGAACGAAAGATATGAGGGCACTGGCTCCACCGCAGCGCTGGGAAGCCGCGGCGCCGCCGCCGCCGTCTGCAGCGGTTGCGGTTGCGAGGCTGTTCAATTTATTCACTTAAAGTCAAAAACAGTAAAAAAAAAGCAACTGTGTGATTAATTAGATTGCTGGTGAGGTAGATACCTTCTAATAATTAAATACGGAAAATTATAGGTGCTGTATGGTATCAAAAATGTTATTTTGCTCATCGTTTCGATCGCGTAGAAATCATCCTTACCCCTTGCAGCTTCCAGGCCGAAACAAACAGTTCTGCCTGAATTTCGGCTGGCAGAACTTTCTTCGGCCCGGAAGCTACAAGCTCTGAGGATGATCGCTACGCGAGCGAAACGATTATTAGCGAAATAAATGTTGTTGATACCAGACAACACCTTTAATTTACCATATTTAAACTGTGTGACTTACTGTGGCTGGATGGCCGAGGTGGGTAAGAGCGTGTACCGACTGAGCGCTCCGGTCCGAAGGGTCACAGGTTCGCAGGTTGGGCATGGTTGCTTGTCCCTTGCCTTTCATGTCTGTGTTGTGGCGGAGGGCCTCGCTTTCTGCTGACCCCAGATCAGAAGAGCTCTCAAATTTGTTGGTGTCTACTGTATGATCGAATATGCATCCCATCGGGACATAAATGGTAACCGGCTGTCGGCTAGAAAATGCCCTAGGAAAAATAACTGTGGGGAGAAGTGAAATATGTGCATGGTGTCTTGAGCTCTGGGATATATGTTTTAACTCATATAAAATATTAATAAAAATTAAGTTAAATTAAATTATGAACACATGTAGTAACGAGCGTTTTTGGCAAGAATTGGCGTGAAAATATTCGCTCCCATATAATAAAAACTATTTGTAAAGGCAAATCAGCTACAGATTGAGGCTATTTTGCCCAGTATTCTACGTGAAGGACTGGATGTACTGCCGCCATAAAATGGACAATGATTATTCGAATATCTACATTCCCGAAAGACTCAATTACAGCTCCATGAGAGCTAACCATTCAAATTCATAGAGAACTTCAAATCGATATCGTTCCAAAACATATCAATAACGTAACAAACAATTTATATTCTTCCCTTCCCCCTTCCTTTCCACTCGTAAATTCCATCTAAAGCAAAGAGCAATCATACCAAGTCGAATCAAATGAAAATTTCACAAAAATATGCTTAAATATTTCTAAGCTAATAATTCTGTGTGGAATCTTTCCTTTTTCCTTTCCTACAACTGAACAGTTTATTCCCCAGATTAAAATTAAAATTCAATAACTTGTAAAACAAAACAATTTAATTAAATGAGCCACAGCACTTTAAGCTCAATTTGCTAGGGAATGCCCGAATCTAAAAATGACAACGACATTTCGAAACCTTGTCGTGCCGGGAGCAAACCAAATAATATTAAACACAGCAATAAAAAGAACACCAGAGAAGACTAGAAATAATGTTTCTGATTCAAAAAGAACGCAGAGATGTTTTTTTTATCATATAAATATCACATCAGTAAACATGAAACTCATGTAAATAAACAGAATAGAGCAGAAGAATGATATGATATGTTTACATAAAAATACGTTTTAACTTAAGAAGTTTAATCCAGGATATTTTATTTAAGTAGTCAATGCTTTTTTAAAATATTTTTATGTTTATTCATGCAAAACGAGATAAACATATGTTTTGTTTTATATTAACATAGCCCACGTTTCAATATCACTTCATCTCATTTTCAAGGCCCACGTAAAATTTAAAAAAATTCTTAGAAAAGCTTTGATAGAAGATAACGGCACCGGCCGGCAAGCCATGTCAACCAAAACTAAAGAACCCTTAATTAAAGAATTTTAACTCATATTGCGATTTATTTTAACGGCCATTAATTGTCCTAAACTAAGACATACAGACAATATTGCACTGTATTGCAATTCCATATGATCGGAGGAAAGGCGAAATGGCAGAAGAATTGAAAGGAAATTGCTACACCCTGACCTTCGCGCTTTCATGTTTTCTTCACCTGTGGTTTTTTGATACTAAACGAGACCTGCTCCAACGTAAAGCGCGAAAAAAATCAGTCTCTCTGATAACAATTGTTTCTAAACTCTTATTTATTATCTAATTAGAACTATTTTTAATTTAAAAAAATAGTTGTTTTTGGTTGTTGTTGTTGTTTTTGTAAGGCTTCCTACTGAACTCGAACATTCAAAGCTGAATTGGCAAACTTTGCCTACATTCAGTACTTTCCAAATATTACATAAATATCTCTTTTTTCCTTTCTCTGTAAGCCCACACTTTTGTCCGGAATATGCGGCAGACACTCCTAAATTCTATATACATTTACGACCTCATCTTATTACAATAGCTCACAAAGTAATGCCAGCTTGCATCTGGGAACACATATGCTGTTGGAAAAATCCATCTCACTATCATATGATAGAAGAGACCATCAATTAATTGTCCACACTTTTAACGTTCAGCCTTTGCACTAATCCTGGCCTCTCGACCTTTGATCATTTCCATAGCGGGGACTCTCACCTGTAGTAGCGGGGATGTTGCGTATATTGTTTTGTAATTCACAACTCGCTCCGTACCGTTGTCAAGACCAGCGCCACAGAGACCTAAAATGATGACTCAATTCCTGAACAAAAAAGAAAACCTAAACTAGGAGAGAAGAGTTTCTGGAGAAATCAGGAAACGCTCGAGCGAATCCAACAGTAGCTTTCATCATAATTCAATAACGAGGTGTTTCCTTTGGGATTCTTCGGAGGAAAATAATAATGATCAACTCTCGTCAGTACTGCACTTCAAGGAAAATAGATATAAAGATACACAGATGTCCCACATTTATTTCCGATAAAAAAAGTATGGAGTCTTAGCGTCATTTGAGGAAGATTGGTGGATCGGTTTCCCGTTGAAAATTCTTTATAGTGAAAACTCAACTTCCTTGCTACTTTTGGAAGCGTAATTGAAATATATACTCTGCGCTGCTCCCACACACACTAAAGCTACGCCGTACTGAGTGGTTGAGAACGGGTGAGGCTGGCAGCAGGAAGCCCGGCGCAGTGGGCCAATTATCCCTCTTGAGGTCACGCGGGTCCTTCCCTTCCCTAGGTATCCCCGAGACAGAGCCACACGTCTCTCTTCGACCCCTCATCTCAACCGAAGGCGTCTGAGCACAGTAGAGGTTTTGAATTGCACGCCCGGAAGAAGAAAAAATGATAGTTTTCTCGAAAATGGCATTGTTTGACGGGAAACCAATAGCACTGAATTTTCTTAAATAACCATAGGATTGCCCTATAATTAAAATATGTGAATTACTCGCCGTTATATATTGATAATTTCATTGGAAAAAGGAAATTAGCGTAACTAATTACAGAATTTATGAAAGGTCACATTCCTACAAAAAGATAAATTTCACGTTTTTAACTACTACAAACAAATTTTAAGAAAGGTGAGTGTCCGGTTGGTGGTAACAGTGTGTATGTAAGTGAATTTGAAATGTTTGCATAAATAATACTATGTATCTACTTAATAAAAAGTGTAATTTGTATCTGTTCTAAAGGAAGTGCGACCTTGATTTGCATTTTGTTCACCGTATTTTAACACAATTAAATCGAGAAAGATACTTTCCTCACATGCCGAATGCGTGTTTTCTTTCAACAGATGCCATGTCACGTACGGCAATAAAGATAGACTTGAAAAAAAGCACAAGCAGATAATTTCAAGATGATATCTACACGCTAGACCATAAACATTGCATTTAACTGCCGAGTAAGCCACTGCACTGTATTAAGGCACTGTAGATCTTACAGCTATGAGAACTCTGCAAGCCAGTTACATCCTCTTGGACACATGTTTACCAAATATTGTTTTTCATAGAAGAGATTATATATATTTTCCCATTTTCGAAAGGTTTCTTGTAAAAAGGGATGAATTTGAGTGGTTTTGTTGTCATTTGTCGTTATTATAAGTAGTAGTCGTTTAACTTTGTTAGTTATTTCATCTCTGGTAATCGAAAAAATTAATTTTGTGATTTAACGTTACTGTTACATTTGACTATTGGATTTAACGTTATGGTAACTATGAAGATGGCGTGGTCTGGGGCTAATAGGGAGTGAAAGAACGAACAGAAATACAATCAAGCCAGAGACGGGACTCGAACCCGCAATCCTTCAGTTCGATATCGTTAGGACACTACTGCCTAAACGATCTCGGTCATCCGAACGACAACATAAATATTTGTTTCTGTACAAAACTGTTTTAAGTAAGTTCAATAAAAAAATCATTCTAATACCGAACCCTCAAAACTCCATTACGTACATCCAATGCCTTTACTAATGCATTAGCTGCATTCAATTTCCTGTAAACAAATTCCTCTAAAATATCAGTTGACGTTCAGTCATTGGGAATATGATTTTCAATCTTTGAAGGAACAAGTATTATACATTTTCTGCAACTGCCTAACGGCGTGTCTAAATATTGGAACTACCAAATGAATATATATATATATATATATATATATATATATATATATATCGATTCATTTGGTATACATCGATATGGTATACATATATATATATAAAGAAAACAGTAACAACAAAGAGAGACGAAGACAAATGATCACTTACAATCAAGTAACAAAGCTATAATTTAAACGTAAGTAGACGAATATAAGTCGGCCAATTCAATACAGGTTATTCCTTATCTCGTATCGCATTGATTCCATGCACCTTGTAAGATCAAAGTACTCTATTGTATATCTTTCCGTCACGCAAAGAAAA